TCATGTCAAGCTTATGTTTACCAACCAACTACAGTATAAGCTCCTCATTCTGACCCCTGGCAGCCGTATAGCCTGACCCTGTAACTTCTGCTGAACTGCTGGGAATAAGGTTGATCCCGACATCATTGCTTGGAGTTTACCCAAATGCTGCCGTCCTTGAGCACAGGAAGCCCACCAACAGCAATCCTACAAGACCCTGTTTCTGACATCTGCAGCTCAGTTCCCATCTCTCCTGTATGAGAAAGAAACAATCAGCACACCAGTTCCTAGAAGGGCCCCACAAAGGAACCTGCAATAGTTTCATGCCATGCTCAAGAAATAAGCAGCTTATGGACAGCTTCAGTGAAGACTGTAAAGTTTGACGAAAGGGGAAGGGGCACTTCACGTGGCTCTGGCTGGTTGAAGATGACACAAATATAAGTTCAAACATGCCAACCACACCCGTCTTCTCTGATCACTTAAATGACACAAGAAATGACACCAATGGGGAGAGAGTAAAAGCCCCTCTGCCCACTTCCTTGCGCTCTGGTCTTTACATACAGCCTCTCTCTTGAGGATGACTTCACACAAACTGCTCTCTCTGTGGGAAGAAAACATCCAAGGAATCTTTACACCTGCCTGGTCTTTCACTGCCCAAGCTAATCACTTATCCAGTCTATTTAGTGTAGTCACCATCTCTCATTGTGTAGACAATTGTGAAACAAGTTGCTTGTTTCCATTTACATTTCAGTGGATGGGAATTCACATCTCAGAAGCCCCCATCACAGCTGCTTCAGATCTCTGTCAGGCAGTTTCAGCAGCAAGGACACGGGCTGAAAAGGAACAGAAACTGAATTTTCTCTTATCCCCCCTTCCCTCACCCCTTTGAGAAATTATTCCTCCATTGCATGGCTAACATATGTTAGCAGAGGTAAGCGTGTATGCATGAAGCAGGGGGAGGAGTTCGTACTAACTATACTGTACCTGTTTTATGAAGTAACCGATGATTCAAGTTTCCAACACTGTCAAACAGTCTGTCAACCTTCTCAAGCATTACAGGTGGGGCCTGGTGGCACAGCAGCCAAGATGTGTCACTACACATCCAGATGTGTGAGTTAAAGCCTCACTCAGGACTTGAGCTCTAGTCTACCTCCAGTCAACCCAACTATAAATAGGCACTGGGTCATTTGTAGAGGGTCAAAAGGTGGAAGGATGCAATGCTAGTCCTGTTACTCCGGTTTTATGGTGTTGGCTACAGAAACTGTGATTCCTTAGCTGTATTATAATGGGCCACATACACCTGGGATGGACTTCTGACATTAGTATAACCTCCAGATGCTCAAGGTACCCTGGAGAAAATGGGTTTCACTAGCAGCAAAAGTGGGAGCTCCAGAGGTTGACCAACCCAAACATCTGCTTTTAGCTGCATCATTTTTTATGAGTGACATACAGAGAACTAACAAGTGATTATAGTACCTGCTTCAAAATCTACAACTGGGATGTGTGGGGAGGGTGAGCAGGAAAAGCTACATTATTGTACTAGGGCATCAAGTTCTAGTGACATTTAATAACCAGATGTGCTGGCTGCTCTACCTGGACACACAAGGCTACACATTCAAAGAATGGTTACTTGGACATAGATGTCAATATACTGCCCTCAGCTGTACATCCTAAAAGCTGAATAGGTAGTCTGTGGGTAATCACATTTAAGTGTTTTCCATGGGCAATCATGTAGGTTTACATGGAACTGTAGGCACACTTGTACACAAACACAGATCATCCCATTTTGAAATTCCCATAGGACTTTTATCAAGAAGAGAGATTCGCCCATGGGACCTTGGGCAGAATTTTCCCTTGCCTGCTCCTCTCGACCATGCACCAATTTGTTCTCTGGAGTGGTACTTTCTGCATGTCCATGTTGGCACTCTGAGATCCTTCACATGGCTAGAAGAGAGTTGAGTATTTACAGCACATGGCCTTCATCTGCTAAAAACAGAAGCACAACTCCAGACAGGCATGCAAATATTTAGAATGCAACAGCGTAACAACAAACTCTGCAAGGAAAGAGGATGAAAATGAATGAAGAACTCAGAAACCATGTTACAGGGGGGTGTGTGTGTGTGTGTGTGTGTGTGTGTGTGTGTGTGTGCATGCACACACACAAGCCAAGTGCCCATCAAGAATGAAGGGGGGTGGGGCTGGGGGGGGACAAAGGCCCATGTTCAGCCGCCACCATGCACTTTGGGTCTGGCCCTGCTCCTCTCTCTCTTTGGGGCTGGGGCTGGCGCTGCTCCCCCCCACCCCCACGCTCTGGGTCCGCATCCCTCTTCCTCCCCTCCTCCTCCCTCCCAGCTGTTGGCAGGGCCCAGTGGTGGTGGCAGGGTGCCATCACAGTGCCCCCACTACTCCTTGGGGACTTTTGGTGGGGCGGGGCAGCAGCACTGCGCTCCCCTCCATTATGGTGGGCAGGGACAGAGTCCCGCATCTAGCCCTGCCCCCACTTCTCGTCTGGTCGGGGAGGGGGTGAAAGGGCCCGTTCCCCCTCCCCTCGCTGCCCCCCCTGCCTCCGGGGCAGTTGTCGGGGCACAGTAGCAGTGGGGCACCACGACTGTGCCCCCCCCACTCCCCGCCAGTTTGTGTTGGGGCCTGTCAGCTCCATCCCTCCCCCCCTGCCTCTTGTCTGGTTGGGCATGCCAGATCCCCGCATCCTCCCCCCACACCCACTGGTTCAGGGCTGGGGCTCAGGCCAGGCCCGGGGCCAATCCCGCCCCTTCTCGCACCACTTCAGGACTGGGCCTACTCTCCCCACCCTCCTCCGTCACTGCTGCCTGCAGGGGATGGGGGGGGGCCAAGGCCAGCCCCCATTGGGGGGGGGCCTGGGCCAGCCCCCATGTCCCCACTATTGTGGCAGCACTCCGCCGTGGCATCTTCTGGCCGAATGCTCTTGGAGAGCTCCGATTAGCTGTTTGCCAGCCTGTCAGAGTGTGAATAAGGTGTTATGGACAGACAGACAGACTAAGGCTTTTATAATATTACATAATATATATTGCATCTGATTTTTTTGGCATCATATAGACCAGACATATATCACTTCTCTTTTACAAGTACTAAACAGCGTTCTTCCTCGGCTACAAGAGAAACAGGTTTCACTCCAGTGAACTCAGGTCAGCTGGAACATTTCAAACAGAACAATCATAGTGAGGAGTTGAAGTCCTGCAGATGAAAGTCAGTTGCACCCTTCCCACAGAGATGGTCTCCTCCTTCAGTGTTATTTACTAAATTCTCTCTTCATCTGACTCTGGTCCATGCTCTTCTTCCAGGTACTATGTCTCAAGAAGTGTGTTTGAGAGATCCCACCCAGCATCTAGAAGTGCTTTGTCCTACAGCCCATCCAAAAGAATCAAAGCACCTTGGGACACTGACACATTTCTGCCTATTCTCCTCTGCCTGGTTCCCATAAGTACAATCCAGCTTTACTCTGTGTTGAAATAATGGTGTTGCCCTTGTTGCCTCACTCCCTTAAGATTATGATAAAAGTAGCAGCCTGTTAAACACCCTTCCAAGTTTCAGTATTCTCTTTTATAGAAAGTAATGGGGTGCTTCTTGCAAATTCATTGTTGTTCCTAAATCCTTCAGCTCTTCCTCAAAAACATTTAGTGTACTAACAGAATGTCTGTCATGATTGTACATCTTCCTTTTCCACTCCCAGAAGCCTTATCACAGCCTCTGCAAACAAGCAGAAGTCAGTATGGACCAATATTATGGATGACTTCACTCTATAAAGTCTTTGACTTCATTTTAAAGTCTTTGAAGGAATTCCGAAGACAGCAAATCAGCTGCTATTACAGAAAGATACTACGTAATATGGTCCCAATTTTCAAGAAGGGGAGGAAGGAGGACCCAAGTAACTATAGGCCTGTAAGTCTCACCTCGGTGCTCAGGAAGATCTTGGAGAGGATCATCAAGGAGCACATCTGTGGGGGGCCTGCAGGGGAGATCATGCTCAGGGGCAATCAGCATGAGTTCATCAAAGGCCGGTCCTGCCAGACCAGACTGATTGCCTTTTATGACCAAGTAACTAAATCCTTGGATGATGGTGTTGCCGTGGATGTAGTCTTTCTAGACTTTAAGAAGGCCTTTGACACTGTCTACCACCCCATCCTCATCAATAAATTAAGCGACTGCGGCATTGATGCCTACACAGTTGGATGGGTAAAAAATTGGCTGATGGGGCGCACCCAGAGAGTAGTGGTGGACGGGTCGTACTCAACCTGGCGAGATGTGAGCAGTGGGGTACCCCAGGGCTCAGTCCTCAGGCCCACACTGTTTAACATCTTCATGAGCGACTTAGACAAGGGGGTTGAAAGCACGCTGTCCAAGTTTGCTAATGACACTAAGATGTGGGGCGAGGTGGACACACTTGAAGGAAGAGAGAGACTGCAGCTAGATTTAGACAGAGTACAAAAGTAGGCAGACGAGAATAGGATGGGTTCAACATAGACAAATGCAGGGTGCTGCACCTTGGGAGAAGGAATACACAGCATACATACAGGCTGGGGCGTTCCCTTCTTGAAAGTACAGAGGCGGAAAGGGATCTTGGAGTCATTATGACTCCAAGATGAACATGAGCCACCAATGCCAGACCGCAGCCAGCAAGGCCAGCCATACCTTGTCCTGCATCCAGAGATGAATCTCAAGACGGTCCAGAGACATGATACTCCCACCTCTATGTGACTTTGGGCAGGC